GAAAGAGCCCAGTTACTCTCCCACAGGAAATCGGCAGTTTCTAATGAGTGAGCAGAGAGCTATTAGGCCCCCTGCCCTGGCCACTCATTTTCCTGGGGAGGAGACCCACCTCCATCCCCAGATTTGGGCACTCCAGTTTCATGGCTGCTAGTTGTTCGCATTGGCATCACAGCCTCAGGAAGCTGATGCTAGGACAGGGGAGGGCAATTATTTCAGGCGGAGGGCTGCTTACTGAGTTTCAGCAAGCCATCAAGGGCTGCATGACAGGCAGCCAGGGGCAGATATATATTAATTTTCTAAATTTTTTAGGGGCCCCGTGGGCCAGATCGAATGGCCTGGCAGGCCGCATCCGGCCTGTGGGCTGCATTTTGCCCATCCCTGTGCTAGGAGCATGTCTCCTTCAGTGGTCAAAGCTTGTATCTCTCAAGGTGGGTCCTTCTCTACCTCCCAATCTTATAAAATGGGGATACGCCCATGGTGAAGAACATGGTATCTACCTACCTACTTCTCTGTCTATCCCCACAGAACCCCATCCATCCATCTATCCATTCATTCCTATATTTGCCCTTTTATCTATTCTGACTACCACTTGTGAAGCATTTTATGATCTTCTTATGGATGATACTAGAGAAGTGTGAAGCATGTTTATCTGTCCCATCCCCACTGTGAGGATGTGCAATGCATAGGTACTTGGTTTACAAAATGCCCTATGTCCAGGCTGTCTTAAACATAGATACTTGATGCACAGCATTCCCTCTGAAGGCACCTCTGCCACTCCTCAGGCTGGATCAGGAGCAAACCTAACTGAAATTTTTACAACAAAATGCTTTTTCATGGAACATTGACTTTATACCAATTCTTTGGGGATGGACTGTCAACATTAATGACGTGTTCCATTTTTTGCAACATTTTTTGTGGCTTCTTTGACAACATTTTTGAAGTCATCAGGGAAACTTTTCATTTGCCAAAAACCCATTTGTGAGAAAAAAAATCTATTTCAATAACCCTTTCAGTAATAATTTGGATAAAAAGGTTAGTGCAAAAATGAAAAACAGCAATTGTATCCATTTTGTCCCTCTCCCACAGACTGGAAAAAATGCCTTGACATTTCAAACATATTTATGATAATAGCTTCTTTTTTTTCCCTTCATTTTCCCACTAGCTTTAAGCAGTGGGGCTGGACCTGCCTGCCCAATGGAAACAGGAATGAACCTAAAGGCAGATTGTCTCTTTCCAAAAAGGACAGCCCCTACAGAGAAAATGTGTTGAATCATGGTCTCAGTCAACATCAGTTCCATGTGTCCTAGGTGCTGTCCCAACATGGTTTTTGCCCCATGGTTCCAGGACTGTATTTTAACCTTACCTGATTTCAATGAGAGAACATTCATTCTGGCACAGGTACTTATCTTGTCCCTGGTATAGTAGAATCAGTGTTAACCCCCATAGCACCCTGTACAGATGGGGTAAGACACAGAGCGTGTGTCTACACGAGATGCTTTACTGTAGGGCTGTGCGAAGCTTCGATGGAGATCCGGCCCGATTTGGTGGCCGAAACTCCGAATCCAAATAGAATCAGAGGACCCTTTAAACTCTCCAAATCGAATCAGAACCCTCTGAATCGATTTGGAGAGATTCGGAGATTCAGATATAGACACAGATTTGAATGTTTTTTCTACATACCTCTAGGTAGCAGGGGCTTGCTTGTGAGTGCTGCGATGCATGGAGTGTCCCACAGAAGCACGGGGGGCTCCCCAGTGCGCTTGACAGCAGACCTGGAAGTGGACCTCTGGGGACATGTGGCAGAGCCCCACCCTGTGCAGCTCCTGTTCTCTGATCAAGTGGACCTCTGGGGACATGTGGCAGAGCCCCCCCCTGTGCAGCTCCAGCTCTCTGATCCCCCCGCTTCCTCCCTGCCCAGCCCCGCCCCCCGATGGATGTCCTGCCGCTCCCAGCATAGCAATTTAAAAAAAAGAAAAAAAGGCCCTGCTCTCACTGGCTCTGGCAGCGGAGATCAGGGACTCTGGGGGCTCATGACAGAGCCCCCCCTGTGCAGAACAGGGCAGTGAGGGACAGCAGAGATCGCCCCCTCCATCTGGCAGCTGCCCCATGGCATGGGTGCAGCACAGCCTGGGAGGGTGCCGCGCACCATGTGGGAGCTGGGGTGGCTCCAGCAGTCACTCGGAGCCTGGCACCGCTCAGTCCCAGCAGCCCCAGCTCCTAGGCAGCATGCAGTGCCCTGCCAAGCCGTGCTGCACCCGTGCCTTGAGGCAGCTGCTGCATGGGTGCCACGTGGGGGTGGGCAATCCCCACTGCCCTCCGCTGCATGGGAGGACTCTGTCATAAGCCCTCAGAGGCCCCAGTTGCTGCTGCCACAGCCAGGGAGTGTGGGGCTTTTCTTTTTTTTTTTAATTCCTGGGATGCTGGGGCTGACGGGGCACCCATCAGGGGCGATCGAGGAACAGGGACTGCAGGAGGGGTTCTGCCATGTGGCCCTAGAGCCCCTGCCAGAGCCAGTGAATGCATTTTTTTTTTTAAGGGCAGGGAGGCTGGGGCTGGTCAGGGCAGGGCAGCCATGGGGGCTTCTCCTGTGGCTCTCCCTGCCCAGACAGAGGCAGGCACAGCCGGAGGAGCAGTGGGAGAACCTGCAGCTACCTGGCTGTGCCTGCCTCTCCCTGGCCGATCCAAATCAGCACTGAATCAGCGTCAAATCTCCGATTCTGATTCGGTTGAATCAAATGGGGACAGTGATTCAAATCACCAAATCGAATCACTGTCCTCCAAATTGGCCAAATCTGAATCAAATATTTCCATATTTGCATAGGCCTACTACTTACCTGTCTAAAGCTGGAGTTAGATTTGGGTCAGCAAGGCAGCAGAGAGGAATAGCTTTGACCCCTAGTTGTTAACATTTGAGTAAACTTTGACTAACAGGTCACTCTGGTAGGACACCGAGAAACTTTGCAGTGTGGGCCCTCCCTCAGGGACAGGCTTGGTATGTTAGGTTACTCCATTTCCCGAGTATTCGCTTTGCTCACCCCAGCCAATCAAGATGTACCACCAGAAATACCTCTTGTCAGAGGTGAAGGTGAGCAGCAATAGGGTCTGCAGGTACATCCCTTCCACCAGGAGCCAGTAGAAGTTGGCCAACACTGAGTACTGGAAGAAGACGATAGCTGTTTTGCAGTTAACCTAGTAAGGGAGAGGAAAGGTCACACTGGCACATCTCTGCTCTATGACATTGGCAGGTTAGTGCACACTTCAGGATGAGAATGGCTGCCAGGCTAAGAGGACCACATCTTTTCCGATGCATTCCAAGCAAAGAATGGCGTACAGGAGAAGGAGTCCCTTCTGCATCTACCTCTCATGATCTGAAACCTTTCAGCCTTCTTGGCATCATTTCCCTGCCGCCCCTTACCACAATAAAGCATCTAACCCCTCCTCAATGCTCTTACCCTCTCCTGTAGTATCTAGCATAGAAAACCCAAGCCCTCTTGGGTGACTGGCCCCGCTCCTTCCCCTTAGTCCATTGCTGTCTCCCTCAGCCAAGGCAGACATTTCTGGGCAACACCCCCTCCTCCTTGCTGGTGTTTGGCTCCAAAGCCTAGAGTTTATTGTGTGCATAAAGGTAGGAGTCCAGCTGATTTGCTTTCACAGCCTGACTCTCAGGGAAAACACACCTAGCCACCTCCCTGACTCAGTGATGCAGTGCTGTCTCCCTGGAAAATCCTCTGTTGCCCTTTACTTGTAGCCTCCCTCAACAGTGACCCCTTTGGTTCCTGACCTAACTGTATCCCTTTTCTTTACTTTTTGCCCCATTCTCCCCCACTGCAGTTTTATCTCCTCCCTAGATTGTTTTTTTATTTCCATGACCCTAAAAGGCCTCGAGGGTTCCTGGGCAACTGGACTGATCTCAGATTGCCTTTCCTTTCTATTATGTTGCCTGGGGACTGTTTTCCACTCTGCTTTGCTTTCTGCAGTAAATACTTGAGAAATCTGCCTTCTGATTCCAGCCCCTAACAACCTATGAATATCTAGTCACTTCCCGCCCCCCCCCCCCCCCGCCCCCTTTCCCTCTGGATGTCTCTGTCCATGGCTTTGGAAAAGGGAACCCCATTATAATTTTAAAATAAAAATATACAAGCTAAAACATCAAGAAATCCCTTTTGCCTGTGCCGTTGTTGCTGATGTTAGGAACTAACACACCCCTGCTGGGTTTGCACCTAAAAGCCAGGTAGAAAACTCTCAGTGCAAGAAACTTTCACTGTAAGTAGAGTCCAAGCAAAAATAAACTCTACAGAATTCTAATAACCTGGGTCAGAGGGACCCTGTTCCCTGCTCCTTCCTCCTCATAATGTCTGGGTGGACTCTGGAGATCTGGGTTCAAGCCACAGCATCACCACTGGGCAACTCACTTCCATGCTCGGTACCTCAAATTCCCAGCCTTTGACTAGGGATAAGGACACCAACCTCTTTTCTGAAGTGTTTTGGGAGCTATGGGTGTTGCTGTGCTAGATATATATATATATATATATATATATATATATTTTATACATATTTATATATATATAAAAATGTGTGACCTGCAAGTTCCTGCATGCCTAGGAAATGCAAAAGTTTAAAACTGAACCCTCAGGAGAGGCTTTCCTTCAGTGTCTGACCCAGGAGAAACCTCCTCCCCCTCCTCCGTAGCTCCTGGGCATGTACTGAGCTTCTACTTACTGTTGACATTGTGCAGTGATCGATGGACTCATCTGCAAAGAGCACAGAATCTTTGATGAACACAGCAGCTCCTCGTAATATAAAAGAGGTAAAGAAGTGGATGTGGATGGAATTCCTGGTGCAGTGCAGCTTCCTGTAGAAAGAAGATAATCCAAAAGCTAAGGGGACAGGCCACAGACACAGATGCACGTGGTCACAAGTGGGGTCCCCCTGCATTGAACACTGGGGATCACATTCAACACCACCCACCACACCCCATGAAGTCCCACTGGGGCACAGTGCATTAGAGAAGGGTATATTCGTCTAGCCTAGATGAATATGTCCCAGACAGAAATGTGACCCAGCAAGTGCAAAGGGGACTGCAGATATTGCTGAGCCAAGGGAGTTAGGCTGATCAGCTGCTCAGGCTATATAATGGAGCTGTTAGCCAAGGCTTCTCCTTGACCATGGGTCAAGCTGTGCATGACCACACTACGCTCAGGTGGCTGGTGACAGTGTATCCAGCATGCACCATGGCTATCCACAAGATATTGCACCAATGGAGTGATACCCACAGTATCACCCTTAATTGCTGCCACCGACCATCTCCCCAGCAAAGCCCATCTCCTGTGCTTCTGGCACTGTGATGCTGCCAGAAGCTGTTTCACTTAATGTTCTACCTCAGGCCCATGCTCTGGTGGCTGCCCCCCGTGGATGCTTCCTTTCCTTGTAGCCCTACAGTGTCTCCTCTGTGCATGAGGTCTTGCATCTGGTAGGTGTGGGCATAGCACAAATTCCTTAGTAGGGTTCCCAAAGGGCAGGATATTGATAGAGGCAAGAACTCCCATGGTGAGAACTGAGCAATGGACAGAGCTCTGTGCTGTGTCAGGGCCGGAGACACCCTCTAACTAAAGAGGCTTGGAGGAGACTTGTCTTGGGGGAAGCTTATGGCACTTTGCACCTTCCTTAAAGCAGCAGGTTCTGAACACTGCTGGAAACAGAACACAGGGCTCAAAGATCCTGCTCTGATCTAGCCTGAGAGCTCTTCCGTTCCTAAACTGTCTCTTAAACTGTGTGTCATTTCTCTAGCCCACCTTTAGCTCACAGCGGTCTGTCAGAGGTCTCCCCTTCACCTGCCTGCCTGTCGCTCACATCCCCTAGTGCAGGGGTTGTCAACTGGGGGTACACATACCCTCGGGGGTACTTGAGAAGGCCCCAGGGGGTACACACAGGCAGCTCGGGACAGAGGGGAAAAGAGGGCAGTGATGCCCCTCTGCAGGTCACACAAGCACTGCCTGGCCGGCTGAACACAAGGGGAGGGGGAAGAGGGAGCTTGCATGCGGCGGCCGCCACCACCACACCACACTGCCGCCATGCCACATCCAGCTGTGCGCTTCCCCCCCACTCCCTGCACTCTGCATCCAGCTGTCGGGGGTACATTTATTTAAGGAAGTTGAAAACCCCTGCCCTAGTGCCTTCACTTGGGGAAGGTTTGGAGAACAAATATTAAGGAATTAATTATCTCCCCAGTGTAACCACATAGGCAGGGAAATTTTCAATCATGACATTAATGTGCATACTTAGACCCATAAGATGTGAACTTGTAGCCTTCAATGCAAGAAGGGAAAATGTGTCAGCAGCACCAGGTCCCACCATGGGATCATTGAGTGAGTGGGTCTGGTTGCTAATTAGTAGGAATCATACTTTTCTCTGTTTAAAAATCAGTTAAAAAATGTGAGGCATGGCAGCAGTGGTTGTGTGGAGTTATGCCCCCACTACTACTGGGTGGGAAGGGGGTGCCTCACTTTGGTGGCTATGGCAGCATGGCACTCCCTCCACTGGGCCACAGAGGCAGCTCCTTCCTAGAGTTGGTCCAGCCTTGTTGTGAGCACAGAAATCTGGGGGGCACGTGCCCCCCTCACCCCATTGCCTGTGCCCCTCCCTGTAGCCCAGCGGCAGGCAGCCCGCCAGCCATTTTATCTGGCCTGCAGGCCCCTAAAAAATTTAGAAAATTAATATTTATCTGCTTCTGGCTGCTTGTCAAAAGTGACAGGAGTCAGGGGCAGTAGGACCCAGGGGGACCCGGCAGGAGCCAGCAAAAAGGCTGGCCTGGTCCCACCCCCCTCAACCGCCTCCCATCCTTGCCCCACCCCGCTGAAAGCCTCTGCCTGCCCTGGGTTTCACTGCTTCCTTGCCCACCAACCTCCAGCACCACATGACCCTGGGCTGCATCACTGGACTGCGGGAGCACCATGGGGCCACACCAATGCCATGTGTGTGTGGGTGCGCACAGTGAGGGAGGGAGAGACAGAGACAGAGACAGCAATGAGGGAGAGGAAGAGAGATAATTTGTGTGTGTGTGTGTTCATGGGGCGAGTCCCACAAGCATACCCTACCATACACGCAGACCCCCTCACACACCCCAGCCACCCTCCCCTCACCACGCATCCCCCACAAACCCCATACCCACCTACACTCCACATATCCACACATATACCCACATGCTTCCCCACTCCACCCCCACAACCACCCCCCCCCACATCCCCCTCACAAAACCCCCACACCCCCATACCCATACACCCACGGCCCCCCGCAAACCTATACCCACCCACCCAGCCGCCCCTGCACACTATACAAGATTAAGACTCCATTTTAAGCTATTGTGTAATCACCTCTGTGTACGCTACACAAACACATGTAAATCAGGACAAAAATATTTTTTGAAATCAAATTAAAGAATGTTGTAGATGTTTAATTTTTAGAAGAATATAATTTGGTATTTTTCTGGTTCTGAGATGGCAAAACCTCTTGCTTTAAGGAGCACTACCAGTGGGGCAAGGAAAGGGACTTCTGGTGGCAAAGGTCAGGGGCTAGGGGGCAGGGCTTCTGGTCCCAAGATGACAACCAGGGGGTAGGGCACCTGTCAGGGGCCAGGGCTGCTCATGTGGTCCTTAAAAACTTGCCAAAACTCTGTAAGCAGCTCTGTGCCCGAAATAATTGCCCACCCCTGCTGTAGCTTGTGCCCTCCCATTCATCGCCTATGCCCCCCTGCCCACACAGACTTACCTGAAGGGGGCTGCAGGAGCTGCTTTCCACTGCTGCCTGGCTGCCACATGCATGTATGTGCACAAACACATGCACGTGGAGCCTTCTACATCCTGCCCCCCCAGCCCCAAACAGCCCCTTGCAGGCTGGAAGGTTGCCAGCTTGCAAGGGGAAACCCATGGTTTCCCACATCTTTCTCCTTTAAATGAGAAAAATCCGCATTTTTCCACAGCAAACAGAAAACCCGGATCCCTGCTAATTAGCTACAAAAATTAATATTCCATTAGTTCTGGGACACAACAGGCATAGAATTCCAAGGAGAGAATCATGTCAAAAGGTTACAAAGTTCAAGCCAACTCTAGTGGGCTGGAGACACAGTTTTGTTAGCTAAAACAGAAATAGAAGATGAATTCCTCATATTTCCACTGTTTATGTCTCTCTTATGATCTCCTGAGTATTTAAACCATGCAAAAACTCAGAATTAAGTTCCAGGACTTGGAATATTCTCTAGGTGTATGTGGATGATTCCTCCTCACTAGCCTCTCTCAGACCCCTTCCAACTGGATCTGTAACATGGGCTGCAGACCCTGAGTCTGCGAGTCACCTACATGACTTGCAATCAGAAACCACTCCTCTGGAATCCAGTTCAACAGCCTGTTTCCTTTAAGGAGCCTGAGGTAGGTAAGCAGCTGGCAGCCAGGTTTTGTGGCATGTGGAGTCATATAGTTTTCACCTAATGTTTATGTCAGCTACGTCAGATTCTCTATCATCTTGTGCCTTGTGCCACTGATGGTAATGCAAGGAAGGGGAAATGCTACCAGATCAAGGTGAGGGAGTTTGAACTAGAGTATGTAGTATTGCCAGGTGCAGGACAAAGGAGGGTCAGGCCCTAGATGGTCAGGGCATTTCATGCGAGTCAGGGACTGTCATTCTTTCAGGTGAGCAATCTTTACAGCTGGGAACAACCTGCAACTGCAACCAACACACTCTCCTGTGCAACCATCTACCTACAGGCTGGCAAGCTACTTCCACAGATGTAAGTCATCTGTCTCACAGGCACAAGGAGTGGGAAAAAACAGGATACAGCCTACTTTAAAGTTCCCCTTCATCTAAACAATATATGTAAGAACTTTTCTTTCAGCCTTTCCATAAAAGTTTCTCCCATTCTCTTCATCCTCCAATCCTGGGTAAATCTGCCTGCTACAACCCCTGCTCAGGTGGTTTCTACCTCTCTTCACCATAAACACCCGGAAACCGATGATGGTAAACTGGTAACTGAAGTCTGTCTGACAGCTGAGCACAGGGCCCAAGTGCCTTCTTCCCTCTCCCAGCACGTGGGGCTGTCAGTGCCACTGTCCTACCTGAAGCCGGAGAAGATGCCAATGGCCAAGAGCAGGGCAGCCAGGGAAGCAGAGTAGCCGCAGGTATAGAGCACTTTCACAGTGACAAAGTAGCCTTTCTGGAAGAGAAAGATGCAACTGAGTTAGCAGATCAGGGTGGCAAAACCAGGCATATTACCTGTGCTAAGGCCAGTGTATGGGCTGGCAGCCTGGAGAACATGGTCCCTAAGGGCACTGGTACCCGATGTGGGCAACAAAGGGTACATGCACTCTGGGCCCTGCCATGTTTGTGCCAGTGCTCATTGCAACCCTGTTATCAGGAAGCTTCCTACATACTGCCTCCCTACTGCATGGGACAGGCTCCCACATGCAAACTGGCCGTGTGAGGTCAAACTGGTGATGTGAGCTCAGGCACATGCTGGTGTTTGCTGGCTTCGCAGCACCTGTGCTTGTGCCCCTGTGCAAGGGAGATATTTAGGGCAGTGCTAACACATGCCTGAGCAGACAGCACAGCGAGGTTGCATCTGTGTGCAACCCCCTGCTTTCCTGGCTGCTGTGTGCTCACCAGTGAGCTCAGAGGGCAGGACAGCTGTGCTGTATTAATCATTAATGCTCCTGGCAGGCAGGGGCTACTCTGCAGAAGAGGGAAACCTTTGCACAAATATGAAAAGTTCTTCTAGCTGTTCTCTGATGTGGGATCCAAGCTGTATTGGCTCTCTTCACCACAGGTAGACCCAGCTAACTGCCACCACTGAAGGACCATGCCAGTCCCATGGAGAAACCCAGGTAAAAGCCCCAGCAAAGCCCATGGTCTTCAACATGCCCCAGATGATGGAATGGAGCTTGCTGTGGGCATCATTGTTTGAATAATGCCAGAGAGTTTATTTTTATAGCCAGCACCATTAAACAGCAAACGCCACATGCCCCCAGGAAGCCTGCCACTGGGGAGAACAGGGCCCCCATGCTCGCCTTGGTTTCTGTGTCCTTATTGGTGCCATCCAGCTCACAGGCCTTGTAGTATGGGGGACTGGGGCTGCTCCACCCAGCTTCTGTGCAGTTCCGTTGTATTAGACCTGTAGCAATGAAGGGAAGTTCTTATAATGGCCTTTGCAACAGAACCCATCCCAGAGCCCAACACATCAACCTCAGCTCTAACACCCCACCCTCCCTCTGAAAGGGCTTTGTGGTAAGGGGGCCCTTGTGCTTCTGCTCTAAAGGGATCTGCTCATAGTTTCAGGTTTTCAGTCACATCTCTGAGGTTAAGCACAACATCCTGGGAGCCTGGAGAAGATGGACCCTGCTGTAGGCAGGGCCAGGGAGAAGGATTTGGAGGAGGGTAACCCACCTCCTTCTCAGCAGATCAGTACCAAAGAACCCCCATGGTCTTCTCATTGTTAGTTGTTTCTGCCCCTGGTGAGGCCTTACAATGGAAGATCTGGTGTTGGTTGCATAGGGCCTGGACTCCATCACTGCTGATAGTGGGGGGGCTAGGGGCTCCTCACAAATAGTATGGCTACTAAGGGACAGGACATGAGTGTTGAGGGGGTGGGAAAAGAATGAAGCCACTGCTGAAAGCTGCAGCGAATCCCCTACAAAGTGCAATGAAGAGGAACTGTATTTGAAGTCAAAATGCATCCCCTCCTCCCCCAGAGCATGGGGTACTGTTTTCTGCCTGGAGGGGGTATCTCTGCATCAGGCCCAGCATGTGTACACCACACAGCTCCATCATCAGTGGGCAAAGGCCCTTTTCATCTCAGTCTCCTACTGCTGGCCAGGGGCTCAACATTTCCTTCTGCATGGAACCATCCAAGGCCCAGTCCCTGCCCTAAGGCTGGTATTTATCAAAGCTCCTTAACATTTGCAATTACATGCACAGAGCAAAATACTTGTTTGCCTCTTAGGCTGTTCAGTTGATTTTCTTTGCACTCTGATGACTTCAAATTGGATAAAAGTAGAACCTTGCTTGGCTGCCATTAAAGTCCAATGAGGGACAGCTGCTTTACTGCCATGAAAGAATGGCACTGAAATATCAGTCACTGTGCCTCTACAAAACAGGTCACCACCATGAAACCAATCTACAGATGGGGAAACTAAGGCACAGTTAGTGTGCCTTAGTATACTCCCTTAGATAGGGGGTATCTAGCCTGGGGTCACCCACCAACAGAAGCAGGGTCTCCTGGATCCCAATCAACTGTTATGTTCACCAGCCCACACTACCTTCTTTCAGGAACTCCTCTACAGAAATGCCCAGGTCACCTCTGACCAGTGACTACAGAAGCCCAGACCCAGAGAGCAGCAGGGACTGAGCATGATGCCAAGTTGGGAGGAAGCACAGGCACTGCTTTTGGGTGGCTTCTGCCATCAGACCCTTCTAGCACCTGTCATGATAACACTTGGGGTGCTTTTCCTATAGGCCTACTATTAAAGTCAAACCTCTGTGCTGTGCCTTTAAGGTGGGGTCAGGTATCCAGGTTGTAGCTGTATTGCTCTAGAGGCAAAAGGAATCAGAACTCATGGTAGAAGTGATATTTTTTATTAGACCAACTAGATTTTTGCAAAGAATTTTTTTTTTTTGCAAAAATCTAGTTGGTCTAATAAAAGATATCACCTCTACCACGAGTTCTGATTCCTTTAAGACAGGGTGGAATATAAGAGGGCTGCTCAGCATACGCGGAGGGAGAAAATATTATTTTGGGGAGCTGAATACACACACATGTACACACACACATAGGCACATACTGCCCAACAAGTAAGTATGTTGAGTGGAAGTGGCAGGGTGAGAGGGAAGGCGTGTGGGGAGGCAGATCAAGGCCCCCACAGTGAGGGAGGGACTGGGGCAGAGGCAGGGGCTGGGGTAAAAAGGGGTCCCAAGGCAGGTCGTAGGATGGTTGGAGCCTGTGTGGCTTGTCCAGGGACACAGGGAGGCTCCTGCTGCTGCGCGCATCCTGGGGGAGGCATAGGGGCACGTGCCCCCCAGATTTGTGCATGGGGCAGAGGCAGGCTGCTGCTGTGGGCTAGGGCTCTGCACCCTGCTGCCACTGCCTTGGAAGCCGCGCAATGCCATGTGACTGCTGCTGCCAGGCTGCGCCACATCCCCTGCCAGCCCAGTGGTGGCAGGCATGTGGCGTCGCGTGGCTTCCAAGGCAGGGGCATCAGGGCGCAGAGCCCATCCTTCAGCAGCAGCCTGCCTCTGCCCCACGCACAAATCTGGGGAGCACGTGCTCCCCATGCCTCTCCTAGAGTGCACACAGTGGTGGGAGCCCCTCCGTGTCCCTTCCGGGCTCCAACCATCCCATGACCTGCCCCAGGTCCCCATTCACCCCAGTCCATGCCCCTGCCCCACTCCTTCCCTCACTGTGGGGGCCTCAATCTGCCCCCACCATGCCCCTTCTCCTTCACAGGCTTGCCTGCTGTAGTGGGCAGTGCTCCACAGCTGCTGGGCTGCGATCCTAGCTGCATGCAGGCTGTGGTTGCATGTCTGTGTCTGTGCACGCCCCCTGCTGCAGCTGTCTGGAGCTTGTACCCAGGCTGCCCTGCAGCCCTCTTTGCTGCCACCCTTGTCTCACATTTGTGGGGGCTAAGTCCCATTAGCCCAGGCCTTCTGCCGCCTATGCTTCCCAGACAGGATCCCAGAGCAGGAAGATGCAGGGGACTTAAGCAGCATTGCCAGCTGCCCCTCCACATCACCCTTTTTAAAGGCACAGTGCACCCCAAAGTATCCATCTGTAGATCATGGGTCTTCCCAAGCTAAAGGCACACAGGACTAGCATGGATAAGACATTCCAGTTTTTGCAGGCAACAGCATGCCAGGGAGTGACAGGACCAGTGTCACATCTGGCTGCCTTTGAATACCTAGCCCAGTGACCAGGTGCCCATCTCAGCTTGGCTGATAGGGGCAGCCTTGGGAACAAGTCTGAAGGAGCTGAAATACACAAACGGCTGTTAAGCCACAGCCAGACACCCTGTCTGCCCAGCTGCCATACCTGGTGTGGCCCCATAAGATACAAAAATAGGTTTGTGGGCAAAACTCAGGCCCACATCCCCCTCCTCTGACCTCTTTGAGAAGACTTGCATTTCCTTTCTTTCCTCTGTGACCCTCCCTCCCTGCACCCTTGCCAGTGCTTACAGCAGCCTGAGAAAATTGTCAGGCCAGGGTCCACTCTCACCTCCCATGGCACTGTCCCTCATCACCCATTCATTCTGCTCCCTTCCATCTCCAGATCAATCTTGTGCCTCCAGAGCCCAGGCTCCATTGCTGGAGAGAGAGGGGACTCAGTACCTTTAGATTTCTTGAACATCTGCAGGATCTCTGGACAGGGCATGGTTCTGGACTGGCCAATCACTGCTGCCTCCCAGCAGCTCACACCATCCCATTCTGTCAGGCAGCCTGGGGGAGCCAAGAACACAGTTAGCATCAGGGGTAGGAATGTGCCAGGCCCTGTATCTGCATCCTGTGTCAGGGAGTTACAGCAAACCAGTGCGCTATGGCATCCAGGAGCAGGGCAAGCCACCCCAGTGGTGCCTGCTCAACCACTGTGACCCCGCAGACTCCCTTCCTCTGGACTGGCCAATCACTGCCGCCTCCCAGCAGCTCACACCATCCCATTCTGTCAACATGGCAGCATCCTCAGGAGGCCGCTGCCTCACTCACTCCAGGGAAGTCACCCAAATGCGTCTTGTATTTAAACCCCAGCTGAAAGCAGAGCAAGAGGATCAAGGAGGCACTCCTTTCTTTCCTTCCCTGGGCTAAGTCACTCTAGGAAGTAACAGGCTCTCCCAGGCAACAGTAAACGAGAAATTCACACCAGATCCTCAATTAGGGGTCAAAATAAAACCTTTGCTGCTTTAGTGTGCCATCATTCAAAGCAGAAACCAAAGTGGGGTGAGGCTGCAACAGCTTCCAACCCCAGCTGCTGGCTGCACCTCAGAGACCAGGGGTGCTGCAGCTGCTACATACTGAGACAGCCCTTGATATATTGATCCCCACAGCTCCCTCCTAGTCCATGCCTCGCCCCAGTGGGACGAAGACTATCCCAGAACTTCCTGTCGGAACTACTTTCTTGGTCTTCTGAAGTGCCTGGGAATATCCTGTTACTAATCCCACCAAGATTTGTGGCAGAGTCCCTGGTGTCGCACAAGAGCAGCTCAGCTCATACCAACAGCTCAGGGCTGTTAAACTCAGAAGTCACTCCACTTTGCCTATCATTGCAAAGTTTTCAGACACAAAGCTCAGAGATCCTTGCATTATCCAGTCCCTTCCCACTAGCCTGGATGAGTACAGGGAACATCATTTGTTAAAATGTTCAGTCAAAGCCTGCTTTAATTTTCATTTTATTTTCAGAAGATTAAAGCAGAAATACACAGGTTCTCTTCCTGCCATTGCCCTTGCACAGACGCAGCCACTGATGTGGTAGAAGAAAGCAGACTTCAATAAATTCAGGGAGTCAGTCTCTAAGATCCATTAGGAAGCTGGTCAAAGAGGGGAGGTTGAACGGTGGGCAGAGCAGGTTGGCAAAGTGGTCTGCTGCTAGATGCTACTCCAGAAAGGGCCGTACTGGGTTGGTGGTAAACTCCACCAGCCTGAGGCATGTGCAACAGCACAGCTAGGGGATGGGCAGGGGAATCTGTACATACCTGTTTGGTGGGCCAGTAGGGGGCACTCTTGGCGCAGACACACCTGCCACACAGCGCCCCACCAAAAAACAAGCTTCAGATGCCTCCCCAGGGGCACCAACGTCTGGCCAACCCCCTTCCTGGAGCACACCCGCAAGCCTGGGGTAACTGCTGCCACCACCCGGGGTCTAGTCTTTGTCTAGGCTGTGTGCCCCCTGGGGTACAAAGACCTTGTCGACCTTGAGGGTGCTTCACCCAATGTGAGATCTTGGGATGCTTCCTTTACCCTGAAGCACAGAAAGTAGCCTCCCTTAGTCAGCCGAGCAGGGAGCAAAAAGGCTTGCCCAATCCCTCTCAAGCATGTATCACAAGGCTGGCTATATCAGATAGCTTTATTGGGTAGCGAGAGTAGGCATGGAAAGGCATACAAGTCAGAGAAGTAGCAACAGAATAATCCTGACCAAACAGAGGCGGCTTGGTAGTCTTTTGATACGCTTCTAGAACGCTATTACCGGCTAAATTTCAGGTAAGTTATTCACATGTTCATCTGGAGTCTAGAAGAGCTCCAGGGGCCATGTGCTCGCTTCACATTCCCAAATATATCTCCCCCTACTTCCTCATGGAGGGGCTGTTTTATACCACTGTTGTGACCTTATCACTAAGTTCCTACCAGAAGCAGACCCATTGGCTGCTGACTGGTGCTTCCAAATGACATCACCTTCCTAGGTGAGAGGATTAGTCACATGACCTGCAGTGGTAGGAACTCTTAAGCAAAGAAAGTGAGAGCTCCTCCCTCCCTATGGGATTTACAACCCTGTTACCCAGGAGACCAGGTGAATCCAGCAGCCAGGGTTTGTAACCAGAGGGCAAGGGTTTGGGCTGCTGCATTACAGCAGAGAGACAGACTGGGGGGCATTGGCAACACGGAGGGTGTGCGTGCAGGTGCACGTGCACCCTCTGAGAGTGGCGATGCGCCCCCTTAGAAGAGGCACCACCAACACTGTCGGCAGCGCCTGCAGGCAGTCACCGCTTGCCACCCTCCCCCTCGCTGCTGACACCACCGGTGGCATCTGTGGGTGGTTCGCAATCGCCGCTGGCTGCTGCTGCCAGTGGTGTCTGCAGGTGGTCACCGACCACTGGTCGGCGCTCGCCACCCACCACCACCAGCGCTGTGGCTACCTGCGGCAGCTCCCCACTTGCCTCTGCCACACTCCCACCACCGCCAGCTCCGCTGCCACCTGCGGGAGCTCGCCATGCCCCCCCAGCCTCCAGAGGCATGCGTTGTTCATGCTGGGGGGTAATTTCTCCACAGCCTTCTCCCATTTAAACCATTGTCCTCATAACCCCAGGAGGAGTCTGTCTGTGGGAGGCAGAGTATCATGGGTGCCCTGGGTCACTTAGAGAAAGGAAAGAAATCTTCTTACTGGAAAACCCTTTGGAATTCACCCCACAGGAGCCAGCTCCAGGCACCACCGGGAACAGGAGAATAGAGTGACCAGGCCTCTGCCTGCCCTGGGACGTCTCCTGCTATGCTCCTGTGCTGGGTGACATCTGCTCTATTTCACAGGCAGGCACATTGTTTCTCAGATACATTTCTGGGAGCTCTGGGGTCTGTGACAGGGATAGCTCAGCAGGATTCTAAGAGGAACCAGGAATCTGTTCCATCCTTTCCTGCCATCTGGCCAAGAAGCAGCTCAAAGCCTCCTCCAGAGCATCACTGCTTAGCCAGCTACCAGGGTATGTGCCACAAACTCCCCTCACAATGCACACACTACTCGTTAGAGCTGCCCTGCTGCTAGGAGCCTGCACAGCTCCAGAGTGGGGGAACAACTGCAGAGGCAAAAGCAACCTCAAGGCTGCCAGGTTTGTTGCCTTAATGATAATCCCAGTGCCCACACTAGCTGGGAGTGATAGGAGGATCAGCTGAAGGATGGCAGACAATGAATTCAGACATGCATTATGTGTATTCCCCAGTGCATGCTTGTGTGTGCATGCATGCTTGCCCCTGCTTGTGTGTGCCTGTGTGTTCAGGAGCATGAAGGTGTACTTGTGCATACATTCACTTGTGTGCACATGTCTATGCATATGGGCTCACAGGTCTTTTACTGACACTGGACCCATGTCAGGGATGAGGCCACCACAACTCCTCTCTCTGATGCCCACTCCATTAACAAAGCTTGGAAATGGCTAAGACCCTTGTGCTCATGGCACAATCACAGCACAACATGCTCTGCAAGCTACACGTGTCTCACCCCAGCACAGCCCAGCTGGCTCCATCACATACACAACCCAAGGAATGCAATGGCCTCAGCAAACAGTGCGTCAGCCAGGGCAGCTCTCATGCCTGGCTGAGAGAGCTTGGCAAAGCAGCCAACTGGAGCCTCTCTGCTAGGGTGCTGCCCTTGTCTCTCAGCCTGGTAAGACACTGTGACAGAGGTGATAGGACTGAGCTGACAGGACTATCCCCCAAGGTGCTTGCACAGGGCATGTTTGGCACTCATGGCAAAACGTCTGTACATTGGAATGGCAGTGGGGTGAGCAGGGCAAGGGGTGGCCATACTCAGGCATCAGGCCTCCTCCTGTCCAGTATGACCCCTTGGTAAATCCTACCCAGTGAGTGCTTGGGGTAGGAGACAGGGCAGCAATAGGGGAGTAGACAAGTGCACCCACCTGTGCCCTTTGATAACAGCAGCAGCATATGAACAGTGGTATCCTGGCTTTTTTATCCAGTGAGGCACCAAGATCTGCCTGCTGTCACCACCATGGGGCACAGCTTCTCTCTACCTTACAGATGCCCCATAACCCCTCCAAAGCAACCACCCAAGCAAAAAACTTCTACCTTTCCCTGCACTGCTCCAGTCCTTGGCTGCAGCAAGGCTACAGTGGCTGGGTCAAGTGGGGGACCCAACCCACCAACAGGGAGACCCTTCCCTTTCCTGTCTGCCCCTACCCCAAGCCTGGCCCAGGCCCAGAGTGAAGTGTGCTGGTTGATGATTGCCCTCATCCCAGAACCCTTCAAGCCTTTGTGTCATTTTCAGTC